GCTTCATATGAAATAGAGAAAAGTGGCAAGAGTTTTACGACACAATGTTGGTTGTTGTGGCTGGGGTCTGATACAAGTCTGTCTATTTAAGTAGCAAAAAACTATTTGTTTTGGACAAAAGCTTCCATTACTCTACATTGTCTTGAGGTTGCATATGATTAAGTATCTAGAACTTGGTGACCTGTCATTAGTTTAGGCCAAAATTTGATTTGTGTATATTCAACATTTGCAACATTTTGGGAACAAGTAATAGTGCTTGATGCAGTTTAAAGGACTTCTATTCAGAGCTGAAAACCTTACCAAATGCTGGAAAATAGATAAATTTATCTGCATACCCTTAATAGTACAGTGATTTTATGGAACATATTAGTGTACAATATTGATACAAGATACATAGAATGTGTCATTTTTGGGAAAAATTTATCATAATGCATAAATGAGGAAAAATATTATTTTATCTATTAGATATTTTATATATTAGATATTTTAAAATATCTAATTTTTTGTTATGAAATTGTAAATCTGTAATCAAAAGTACTGTATGGAAAATACACAAAAAATCATATATCTACCTTGTGGTTACCTTGTGGTGATTCTGAGGATCAATGACCCCACAGCCCAGTCTTTGACCAGGTCTCCATTTTCATATTCAATGGCACCTCGACTTACAACTGCCCTTACAAATTTTTTTAGTTACGATGTAAATTTCATCGGGAAGTGCGACTCAACTTGCTACCTTTGCCTCGACTAGCGACTTTGTTGATACGCGTATTGGTCGACTGATCGCGGGTTCCTGGTGGCATGGCCGACCCAGCCTCAGTTTACCAGAGCCGTCTGCTTAGTGACGATGGTGCTTGTAAAGAATTTCATTATTTTTGTGCTTTTTTGTTTTTTGAACATAAAAGTAATTATTATATATCATGCCATGAGTCCCAAGAAAGTCAGCGATAAGGTTCAACCTAAGAAAACATGCGAGAATGACCATAGAAGAAAAACAAGAGATCATTCGTAAGCACGAAAATGGTATGAGGGTTGTTGATGTAGAGTAGAGGATGTCTGTTCCTCATTTATTGAGAAAATGTGTGCAGTATGGGAAAAATTGTGAAGTTTTGCTGAAAAGTGCACCTAAATCAAGCTGTAGCAGGCCATTGTGTTAACCTTTTTAATGACAATGTGATGTCTCACTTCAGACAAAAGTTACAACGTAAGAAAAAACAAGTGTTTCTAGACAAGTTTTTAGTGAGAAAAACGAGCACTGAGCCACAAGCAGGTCCTAGTGGTATGCAGGCAACACGTAGGAGAGAGAATACCCCAGAAAAGTCATCACTGCCTGATGTTATAATGGAAGGTGACTTCCCTTCCAAACACTAACACCTTTCCTCCTCCCCTCCTCCTCACCGTCTTCTATACGTCAACAAGAGTCCTCATTCAAGGTAAGATATACGTACAGTACTGTATTGTAGTTAGTACAAAATGAGTGTTATTTGGTATAAAGTGTATATTTAAGTTAATATTTTTGGGGGTGTGGAACGGATTAATTCAATATACATTATTTCTTATGGGAAAATTCGTTTCGACTTACAAGACTTGCAACCCGTCTCTGGGAAAGGATTATATTCATAAGTTGAGGCCCCACTGTAATGTACTGTATCTTACAGTAATTTTTAGTGTCTGGAAAGGAAGCCTGTACTTAAGCTTGTTGGGATCCTCCTATCTCAATTATTGACTTTCCCCCAGGATGCAGCCTAACTTCTGGGTACCTGTTTACTACTAAGTGAACAGATGCATCAGGTGAAAGAAAATGTGCCCAACCATTCTACCCTGTTCAGGGATCAAACCCAGGATTGTTGATTGTGAGTTGAGGATGTATATTCAATAGTAAGGAATCTGTATACAAAAGTAAAAAGAATTCCAATCTTATACAGTGGAGATCTTGATGTTGACACAGGTAAGTGCTATGGTCATCGTATGATGGTGATGAGACTGCTCCTGGTGATTTCAGGAGCTGCAATACATTTGACTCTAAACTATTTTGTGGCCTCCCATGACTGCTGAGAAAGAGTATTCAGCTATTGCCCACACATGAGCAACATTGGTATTCAAACATTGACACGAAATGTGACTTGTCTGATGATGAGCACATTTCACTAGATAAATCAACAAATACTGTAACGGAAAATGCTCTTTAAGGGTTAAATTCGATTCATCTAAAATTTGTACATGTCCTTGTGGTCATTGTTATCATGGCTGGGATCTTTGAATTTATGACTTTTGTATCTATACCTTTATCTGTATACTGTATTTTCTGTATATTTACTGTATTTGTATATGTCTGTCTAGAATATATATCTGGTTTCTATCTTCTCAAAGTGAGTCCCAAATATTGGAAGTCCTTATTTAACTTTTCATTTTTTCAATGCTAATCATTTAAATGTTTTACTTTGTGAATTCATATTCTTTCACAATATATTCTTTCACAATGTGTTTTTTCATAATTTAAGTTTTACATTGTTAACACTTTCTCCCGGGGACAATGCAACATGGCGTAAAAAATTATTAGATGAATTTGGGAATGGCGCATCGGTGCGTCAAAAATTAAAAAAGTTCGGCCTGCTTTCGGCTTGACTGTGGTGGGGCGCGCTGCGGTTTTGGACATTATATGCACATACTTCCGTATGGAATTTTATTGCGAACACATTGATACCAAAAATGGAAGACCTAGGACGAGAATTGAGTTGACCGAAGTGAAAAAGAGTATACACATTTTATTGCGCTTGTGCACTCATGGGGTAACTTGCGGCCAATTTCTCGGTTTGGTGCAGGTGGTACGCCGGGCTTTTGGACTTCATGTGCATATACTCCTGTAGGGAATTTTATTGCGAACACATTGATACCAAAATGAAAGACCTAGGACGAGAATTGAGGCAACCAAAGTGAAAAGAGTATACAGTGGTACCTCGGCTTATGAATTTAATCCGTTCCCAGAGACGGCTCGTAAGCTGAATATTCGTAAACTGAAGGGAATTTCTCCACAAGAAATAATGGAAATTGAATTATTCCTGTTGACCAATCCACACACTAGAAAATGAAGGGACGACGACGTTTCGGTCTGTCCTGGACCATTCTCAAGTCGATTGTGACCACTCACAATTGACTTGAGAATGGTTCAAGATGGACTGAAACGTCGTCGTTCTTTCATTTTCTAGTGTGTGGATTGGTCAACATACTTCAGCCACGTTATTGTGACTCATCGCCTGCACTGAATTATTCCGTTCCAGACTCCCCAAAAAATTAACTTCAAAGTAAATTTTATACCTAATTTACCCAAATCTTCAGTACTAAAGTATGTATAAGTTATTACCTACCTTTACTGATGACTCTTGTTGGCATATGGAAGACGGTGAGGAGGGGGGAGGAGGAGAGGTATTAGTGTTTGGAAGGGGAGTCAACTTCCATTATAACATCGGGCAGCGATGACTTCTCTGGGGTCCGCTCTCTGGCGCGTTTTGCCTGCATACCACTAGGACCTGCTTGTGGCTCACTGCTTGCTTGTCTTACAAAGAATCTGTCTAAAGACACTTGTTTTTCCCTACATTTTAACACTTGTCTGTAGTAAGACATCACATTGTCATTTAAAAGGTCAATGCAACAACCTGCTGCAGCTTTATCTGGGTGAGTTTTTTCAACAAAAGTTTACAGTTCTTCCCATACTAAAACATTTTCTTAATGAGGAAGGGACATCCTCTACTGCCTTTACTCAACTATTTTCTTAGGTTGAATCTTACCACTTTTCTTGTGACCCATGGGCAAGATATATAATAATTACTTTTATGTTCAAATACCCCAAAATCCCCCCCCCCAAAAAAAAAAATGAAATTCTTTACAAAGAATTCGGGCGCAATAGTTACCAGGCGGGAGCCACTGGTAAACTGAGGCGCAATCGCCATGCCACCACTAGCTGGTCGGCCATATGCGTATCAACAAACTCGTTTCCCGAGGCAAAGCTTGTAACCCAACTCAAATTTTCTGAAGACATTGGGCTCGTAACCCATAAAGCTCATAAATAGGGACATTCATGAGCTGAGGTGTCACTGTACACATTTTTTGCTCTTGGGCGCTCACGGGTAACATGCTGCCAATTTCTCAGTTTGGTATGGGTGATACGCCTTGCTTTTGGACTTTATATGCATATATTCCTGTAGGGAATTTTATTGTGAACACATTATACCAATAGGAAGACCCTATGATGAGAGTTGTTGTGACAAAATTGAAAAAGAGTGAAAACCAAAATTGAAAACTGCATGCTCCCATGGAATGCCTGGCCCACCTTGGGGTGGTCTGGCGCTCGCTCGAAAGTGTTAAAATGCCAGCTTCCGATGCAGGCCTTTATAACCTGAATGGAACATCATGCATTGAAGCTTTTGACCCCTGTTAATGTTTCAGTAGAGCAGTTTTCACTTATCTCTTGTATTAAAAATAAACAAAAACTTTAAACACCATTAAAGAAGACCAATAACGCATTTATAATATTCTGAAGATTTTAGTTCAAAAGATGATTGCAAATTTGAAGCATAATTCTCATTTGTGTGGGTGGAAGGAATGTTGGTGGAGTTAAAATATATTACATTACTGTTCTGGAAATATATTATACTACATTTTATTTAAATAAAAAAAAAATTATTGAGTGAATTATGTTTTAATCACTCAATCCTTCACTTCTGTCTTATATGATAGTGGTTCCTTATATTTAAAAAAATACTTATTCCTTATTTTTTAAGCAGCTGATGATCTTCCCATCTTGTTGCATGCTGTAAACAGGGTCATTATTGTGCTGTTTTCAATATCCATATTATTACTTCTCGATTGGTGTTTTTTTTTTTTTTGGCACTGATGAAGATTGTTTTAATGAGAATTAGTATGGTGGAGAGTTTTGTAATGTTACTTGCTTAAACCTGTGTGTAATAATAATGAGGTGGCCAAAGACATACCACTTGTTCTAGACAATGGGAAGTGTTGCCTCAAGCATGGGCAGCATGAGTGGAGGAGGCTCAAGCGTGGGAGGGTCCAGTGTGGGTACACCATCCTCCACACGAGAGAGCACTCCTGTCAGCGCAATCAGTAACAGCCCTCCAGGTTAGTCAGGGCATGACATCTCAGATGGTTACATGGTGTATAGGAATAATGTATTATAAAAGGTGTCCATATGTAAGATATCTTTCTATAAAACAGGCTTGGTGCCTTCTTTTGATAATTACTTACTTTAAAACAGCTTACATATAACAACTTGAATATAAAAACCAAAATACTGTGATTTATTATGGCTCACTGGTTTGTCTAATGTTTCTCTATAGGCAACTGTATATCAATTTTGTCTTCCCAAGAAACTTTCTTGTAACTAATAATACTATATAAGTAGTAATATTTTTGTGTGTGAATGTTAGTACGATATGGGAGTTTTGAGGAGGTGGGCAAGGTGTTTTCATTGGTCATCCTTCTAATCTCTGCATAAAATTGCTCTTCTTTTTTAGTTATCAAATATTTAAGTACTTGAATGTAGCTTTTTCAGGTTTCTGGCTTAAATAAGGTCTTTCAAGAAGGCACTGAACGATTACCTCATAATCTCAGCACATGACATTGTTCTTAAATTTCATCATTTCCTTTCTTCTTTTCTAGAAAGTAGTGTGTATGCAGTGAAGAGTTTTATAGTACTTGTAATACTGTACCTGTTAATAATCTTATGATCCAGTGAGTGTAGCAGATGTAATGTCATTAACAATCAGTAGTAAAAAATAAAAAACAATCATTAAGTTCCATAAAATTTGCTGTAATGTAAAAGTCATCCTTTGTATAAAAATCATTTTCAGTTTTGTAAATTTTTTATGGTAAATTGCCTTTATTAGTGAAATGATATAGACTCATAATTTTGCATTTTTTTTTTATAGTGAGTGATTGTGAAGAAACACTTCATAGTGATAATGAAGACAGCAATGATTCATGGACCACTCAAGATGAGATCCCAGCAGAGCTCATAATAAAATTAGCAAGCAAGTAGGTATCCAGGGATTTAGTTTAGTTCTTTAAAAGACAAACATGTGAAACCCACTCTTGTGTATACCAATGAAATTACAACTCAAACAAGATGAACAAGATGCTATCTAACTAGGGCCCCCTCTTGGGGCACTAGCAATACGTGATGTAGGTGGATTGTCTTTGGCAACTCTTAAAGATAAACCCAAAGAACCCAGTCCAGGACTAGCAGACATGCTGACTGGGAGCTCAAAGCAGCCAGTCAATAGGTACGCCAAAATGTGTATTCCCAAAAGTCTAAAGAGGTTGAAGGCTCATGTGAGTCAACCTGATAAACTTCCTGGGTGGGGTGCTATGTTTCATCCAAAATGGCATAGGTTTAAAGTGGAAGCAGAGATGCTCCACTTTAAACCTCAGCCAATTCATGAACACCAGATGAGTAGGAATGTGCCAATATATGTCCAGAAGATTCAGGGAAATAAGCCTGAGAAAGCTGGCATGGTGGATTCATATAAAGTGAGGTGTTTGCGAATCTTGCTTGGAAACAGTGGACAGACGGGACACCTGCCACAAGGATGGCTTCAGTGCAATCACACCTTACCCAACAAATTGCAAATTTTATAACAGGGAGGACAGACGAGCAAGACTCTTGACACTATGGTGAGGACCACATCCACTTAAGACCCTGAGAGATTACACAATATGCCCTGCCATATCAGGTCTAAGCATGTTATAAGACACTCAGATGGTGTTCTACCACCACAAGCAACACAGAAACTTGAGCACCAAGGCATGGACCTACCACAACCCAACCTTGTGTGACAAGGCTTACAAATACAAGGCAACATTGACTATTTTGAAGGAAGAACCCCCTAGATAAATATGTAACACTGAGCTGACTTTCCATTCTGGCACCTGATTATGGATAAATGTGTACCATTTTCCGAATGAAAACAAAGGATTGTTTGTCAGCCCAGAGGGAGCTGGGACCTCATATTACAGCTCATGTTTTCTGCAGCAATTTCTCTGCAGCTCAACTTTTCTGCAGGATTGACCCAGTCCCTGAGCAGAAGTCAAAGCAAGTCTGTAGGAAGATGAAATGATGGAAATCTGGGAAAAGAAGTGAATCCAGGTCACCAATCATGATGGAATCTGTTAGAGTAAAAAAAATTTTGTGTATCCTTAAACCCTCAGGGACAGGCACCAAACACTACAGAGGATTAAAAGGGCAAATAAAGATGCTCCTACAACCCCAAGTCAATAGGACCTTCTCTCCCCAGCAGAGAAGAATGCATTGGGACAGAGCCAACATTCCCCTCCAAATGTCTGAGAACCTGTGGGCAGAACCAAGCATCATTTGGAGAAGCCCCTGAACTCTGGAACACTGAACCACTAAGGACGTTCCTTAGAAACAACGGGATATTAGGCCCAGACATCTCTGCCAACAATCATCCTGGATGAGAAAGCTCCCAAAGATTCAACTGCAAACTTCCTAGCAGCAGTCTCTTGGGAATTCTTGACCTGAACCAACAAAGGATAAATGCTGAGCAAAAGCAGCTGGATGAATTGGCCCCTTGAAGGCAGTTGTAGGGCCACCAGATTGTAAGGAGCAAGCATTGTAAGAATACTCACCACCAACTGCTCAACTTCCTCACCACCTAATGGGGGAAAGGGGGCTGTCAGATATGGAACTGGATCCAGTAGCACAGCCACCACCTGGTATACAGCCGACTGCTAGATGGCTCGGCCAAAACAGTAGCTCAGTTGTGACACATGTAACACACCTGTAGGTGAAAAAACTACTAAACTCAGAAGGTGGAATGAGTGACAGTAAGAGTGACCGTTGGAGACCATGAGGTTTGCACTGTGGAAACCCCACGCGGCAGTTTCACGTTTCATGCCTAGAAGCAAGCAAAGCCATTACTGCCCATCAAGAACAGGATATGAGAAGGGAACCAGTGCTTAATTGTCTTCAGACCAGAAAGGAGGCAAGGCACCTTTCAGTGATGCAGACACCAATCCCTGACATTATATCCACTTGTAAGTGACATGACTTGAGAAAGGGCAACTCGTAGAGGCAACACAACCCTTACAGGAAAGATAACCCTTGTGAGGAAGGAGCAACACAAGTCAGCTACTAGTAGTTGCAGTGGTATCCTGTTTGCTGCTGCCTTGTGGGGCTTTGATTAATCCATGTTCTATGATCCCTGGTTGCCCTTGGCATCAGGCAATTCTGGGCTTGACTATCTCTCTTCCTCTGGCTTGTCAACTGTTGCAACACCAATTGCCATTTCTGGTTGTCTGCACCATTCCTACAGGTCATGGACTTCTTGACAGCTCTTTGTGCCTGCTGGCTTTATATTTTGATTTCTATCTGGAAGTCTGCTTTAATTACTCTGCCTCCTGTTTGCACCCTGTTCTCTTCTCTCCTTAGAGATGGGGTGTTTAACAAGTTTTGGTGGCAGTGGGAGTATCTATTCAGCCACTCTACCAGGTGTTTTGGCCGAGGTCAGTAACTCCACTTCGAGCTTTGAGCAACTCTGATGCCTGTTTCTTGGAGAACTGGATGAAGTAATTCTCAGGTGTCGATCATTCAAGGACTTTGTGGGTATGCCTGTATGCTCTATGACATAGCTACATGGCCATTTTTTGGTGCTAATTCTGATCTGGTAACTACCATTTAGTGGTACACCAAAGTGCTGGCATAATGGGGTACTGAATGCCTTCCAGGTCACTGTGTATATAGTTCTATGGTTTGTCTCTTGGTTCATTTTCTTGGATCTTCATTACAGCTATTGGAAAATGTACTTCATTCTGAGTTCAGCATTTGATTGGGGTTCTGTGTGGGGCCACTTTCTTTGGGCCTCATACCTTCATCAGGCTGATTCGTTTGGTCCACTGACCTCTTTGTCTTTGGGGAATCAGTGTTCTGGTCTTCCTCTGTGACTGGCTTCTTTGGGCCCCCAATCAATGGTTTGTATTCACACAGAAATCATAATAGCATGATATATCAAATGAACAAATCCACAAGGGCCGTGATGAGGGTTCGAACCTACATCCGGGATGATCCCAGATGCGCCTTAGTCGACTGCTTCATGACATAGTAAAAGAATTGCAACCTTCAGTACTACTGCCCTCACAAGGATCCCGCAACTTCTCCGAAGCACAAACTGGGGTTTCGCACAATTCCCCTATGCACCTGGGCTCTGTCAACCAGATATTCTACCTCTTCGCCTTTACTTCAATACACAGGTTTGTTCTTCGGAGAAGCTGTGGGATCCTCGTGAGGACACTAGCTCTTCATGTTGCAAATCTTTTACCATGTCATGACACAGTCAACTAAGGCGCATCTGGGATCATCCCGGACGTAGGTTTGAACCCTCATCACGGCCCTTGTGGATTTGTTCATTGGTTTACATGCTGGCCAGAGATCTTTCTTTTCCAGTTAGCCTGCTTCAGGTTTTTGGTGAACTGAAAGACATCTCGAATAGTTCTTTCTTACGATCTGGCATGCTTGTCCTGTGCCTGGTCTGGGTTACCAGGATGGCATCCCATATGTTTTCTTTGTCAAACCTGCTGTAGATGTGTGTTCAAATTCCCACTGTTGCTAAGATGGTCTTTGCTTTCCCATCAGGTCTTTATTCAAATTTTGGGTGGCTTTAAATTCTGGCAGGTGTTCCTGTCAGAATATGGGTGCTTTTCTACTTTCACTGGTGAGTTCTTTTGCTGTGGTCTGGATATGTGGTGTATTCTCCTTTTTACCCGAGATGATGACTGTCATCTTTTATTTTTTGTATTTTGGGTGGTTCGGTTCCGTTGCTTCTTTCTCCTTCAGCATCAAGGCTATTCCAGGTTGTAAGCCTGTGCAAGTTTAAGTGTTGACTGCATGTTATTTCAATTGGTCTGTATATATTTACCATATAGGTTTAGAGCACATAGGTAATGACAGTATAAATTCTGGGTCAGCTGTATTCAAATTCACATTTAAGGACAAACAAAAAATTTCATTGATTCTGATAAGACCTGTAAATAAAAACAGTGCAATATCTAATTCTTTGCATCTTTTTGTTTCAGAGGACACACTAGCAGTAATGGTGAAGATAAACCATATGTCTGTCCTGTGGTTGGATGTCGGAAACGATACAAAAATGTGAATGGAATAAAGTATCATGCGAAGAATGCTCACAAAAAAGATAGCAAGTGAGTTTTGTTAATTGTTACCATGAAAATATTGTTGTTTGGCACATTTTCTGTGGAGTTCTTAATTAGGTATCCATGGTAGCAATACATTATACAATACATGTACAGTACTATAGTTTTCTGGGGGGGGGGAGCCCCTTCGGCTTCCCGGAGCTATCCTGGCTGATATGAATGTATTAGACTGTGGCATCAGTCAAAGTGAATGGAGTTCTTTCTGCCTACCGGGGACCACAAGCCAGAACATGGCCCCTCAGATGAGGCATAAAGAGCAATGTTCTATAAAAACCCCATGTGGTTGGAAGCATTCTATGTCTGCCTTCGACCAAGTTAAGCACCTAAAAAGGCAGGCGCCCCAAAACAAACCCTATCTGGTTAAAAAGTTGCCACTGACAAAAAAGTGCTACATCCCACCACTGCCACCAATATTGGTTCTTGTTTGGTTGTTGATTAGAACTTGCGTGGGACTGGAGAGAATACACACTGTTGTAGCTTCAAGGTCTTTATTGTGGAAGGTAATAATATAAGGTCCAGCACAACCGAGGTCCACTGTGCCCTAGGTCCGTGAGATTACTGAGGCTTACTTGAGAGCAGCCTGGTGCCGGCTCTGTGGAGTGTGACATCATTGGGCCTACTGCCTCTGTGATTGATTATTTGCTAACCATCTTACAATTTGAGGCTAACACAAAGGCTATGAAGAGAAACTGGAGGATTTAAATATGCCAACATTAAAAGATAGTAAGAAATGAGGCAACCACACAAAATAGTGTCAAGGATCGACACAGTTTTCAAAGAGAAACTTTTGAAACGTGTAGCTTCAAGAACAAGGGTCCATAGATTCAAGGTAAGGAAACAACGATCCCAAAAATTTCAAGGTTCTACTTTGCAAACAGAGTTGTGGTCAGTTTGAACAATTTAAGAAAGAAGTTGGGAGATGCCAAAACCATCAGCAGCAGTTTCCAAGCATCATATGACAAAAATTATAGGGAAAGCAGAACACCATAAGCATAGCTCTCATCTTTTAACTAAAGTTAGATAATTATATACATAACAAAATTAAAATAAACCACAGAGGAGCTAAAGGGAGGTTAAATATAGATATGACATTGGATTTGGGGGCCATTGCATTTGATGACTGTTAGATGAAGAGGTGGGGCCTAAGAGCTGAAACTTGGTCAAGTTCAAGTAAGTTTATTGAGAAAATGGAAGTACATCTCAAAAGGATAGAGTAGCTTAGGCTATTTCTACCCTTATCTATATAAGGTCCTTGTAGCAGCCCATCCTCCGAATATGGGGAGGTAAATGTAACGGCACAAGTAAGTGTAATTATGTACTATTCCTAGCAGTCAGGAATTGTACTTATTACAATTAGTATTAAACCGTACTGTCAAATAATTGCCAGAATCGCACAAAAATATTGTGAATATTTGAGTTTACCTGAAAAGCTGAGTAGGAAACCACGACCTAACCTAACCTTCTTAGTGTATGAAGACAAGCATTTTATTGCTTCTTAATTACAATTAGTACTTAATCTATAGCTATATTGATATTACAGTTTTATTAAACTAATAAAACTAATATCTTTCAATAAATTATAAAGTAACTCTGAATATCTTCAAATTTTGTATTAAATCTCTATTGTTGAATAAAACTGAAAAATAATTTTTTTATATTTAAAACTTGTGTATACAGAATTGAACATGAAAACTTCATCCTAAAATTCTGAGTGTTTTAACAGAAAATGAGAATATATGGGGAGGTAAATGTAACAGCACAAATAAGTGTAATTATGCACTATTCCTAGCAGTCACAAATTGTACTTATTACACTTAATATTAGACCGTACTGTCAATTCAGAGGATGCGTTGCCTGAAGGGACTCGCAGACCCATGCAGTACACAATTATTAATCATATTTTACATTCTAATAGTAATCACATGGCATCTCTTATTGATTTCTTGTTTTGGTAAATGCAGACTAAACAAGTTGGCGAAAGTGCAAAAAGAAGCCATGAGAATAATCCCAAAATTATTTCCATAGCCCAAGAAATACTAATACTGTACTGAGATAATGATTAAATAAACAAAACTGAGATAATGATATGATTGAACTTGCAGAATATTGGGGATAGAATTTCAGAGATAAATGAAGCTTCGGCGATTAGATTAATGAGCGGCGAGGGAGCTAATGAATTAATCCTCTCACTTCAAAAGGTGGAAAGAAATGAATAATGTACGTGGATGCATAATTGGATCCTTATGTTCTAATGCTACAAAGCATGATGTCCTTCAAGATTGTATTTCATTGGCATAGAAACAATTATTACCAACATGGAAGGAACACAATGCAGATGCAGTAATTTTTCCCTCTATGTTCTCAGACTCTTATATTTGCTGTGGTTATTTATTTTTTGGATAAGCGACATCATCATCTTGAAATTCTATTGTTGTATACCATTTTTCCTGAGCTTCTCGGTCAACATTTTCCACCACACTGGGTTGAACACTGCCATCACTAGTGGATAGTTAATTTTCCTGATACTCTTCCATCCGTCTTCCTTACTTTCTTCTCCCTACATTTTATTCCCCACTACACCCCATCTATTTGCCATAGCTAATTTTTCTAAAACTTCAATCCTCATGTCCAACTTTTTGAGGTATTCTTAGATCTTGTGTATACTTAGTTCTACTGACCGTAGAATCCACAAAGCTACCCTACACTTCATCACCACTAGGGTACACTTTTTCGGCTTCATTTCCAACTAGGAAAGTGGCTTCCCTACTAGCTTCGGTAGCCACTTGGCTATCCTTAATCGTCGCCGTGCCTCTCTCCCAAACGTTGGTCACAGAAGCTATCGTTGTCATTCCTCTGTTTCTTCCTTGTTCTTGCTATACGATCTTGCCTTCCTTCGGATCTTCATTTACCCTGCTTATGGGTGCCGGCTTGGAATCTCTCACACAGGGCTTCATGGGACATAGAGAGGAACTAGCATTGGGGATGCCTTGACTATTGCAGGAAGATGGCAAAAAATTTTCTCCTTGTCAATCCTAACTCTACACTGTCACAAATCATGCTTCTTATCACAATACTGACATCTGGGGTCAAGCTGGCATTCCAAGCCATTTATCCCCAACGAGAACTCTTCATGCATAATATAGGCTCCTCAATATATTTTGCCACTTTCCTGTATCCAAGCCCTTGTACAAAATCTTTCTAGACCCTCACCCTTTAACAAGGCAACAAGCTCTTTGAACGTATGGTTAACATTCGTTTGATGTGGTTCTTAGAATGCTATCACCACCTCTCCCCTTCTCAATTTGGTTTTCGCAAGTGCCACAGCACAACGGATGTCCTGGTGAACTTGGAGGTCTATATTCGTACTGCTTTTGCTGCGAAGACCTCCGTTCTTGCCATCCTTTTTGACCTGGAAAAGGCTTACGACACTACCTGGCAGTATCATATTCTGTCTCAACTTCATTCTTTTGGCCTTCGTGGGAATCAGCCTCTCTTCCTCCAGAGTTTCCTCTCTCGTCGTTCCTTTCGTGTCGGCTTGGTACCACTCTCTCTGCCCCTTTTCGGCAGTATGAGGGTAGTGTTCTGAGCACTACTCTTTTTGTAGTTGCCCTCAACAGTCTTCTTTCCTCTCTTCCTTCTGGCGTCTTCTCCGCTCTCTGTCGACGATCTTACCCTTTGCTGTCAGGGTGATGATTCGCCTCTCCTTCAACGGCGGCTTCAACTTGCGATTGATGCCATGTCGTCTTGGGCCACCGATCATGGCTTCAAGTTCTCTACGTCTAAGACTTGTGCTATGACTTTTACTCGGAAGCATGTAGTTCTTCGTCCCTCTTTGTCGCTTTATGGTCATCCCCTTGTGTACAGGGATTCCGCTAAGCTTTTGGGGTTAATCTTTGACACTCGTTTGTCTTGGTCAGCCCATATCTCTTACCTCAGAGTTGAATGCTCTAGGGCCCTTAACCTACTTAAGGTTTTGTCCCATACTTCTTGGGGAGCGGATAGACGCACGCTCCTTCATTTGCACTCCTCTCTCGTTCTGTCTAAACTCGATTATGGTTGCCCTGCGTACTCTTCTGCTTCTCCTTCTACTCTTCGCCGTCTTGATGCTTTGCACCATACTGGGTTGCGTCTCAGCTCTGGTGCCTTTTGTTCGACTCCCACCCTCAGTTTGTATGTTGACACTGGCTTCCTCTCTCTCCAGGACCGCCGTGATCGCTACTGTCTTCGCTATCTTGTGCGGTCCTTACAACATCGTTCCTCTCGCCTCTGTCGTGCTTTAACTTTTACCCCTCCTGTGGCTCCTGTTCCTTTTCATCATCTTTCTCTTTCTGTTCAGTTATCTCGCTTACAGGATTCTCTTTCTGTTCATGTTTCTAATGTCTCTCCTCATATTGTTCCTTCCTTGCCTCCGTGGAGAGTCCCCCTTCCCAAGTTTTGTACGTCCTTGACTCATATCACTAAAGCCTTTACCCCTCCTACAATTCTAAAATGCCTCTTCCCTGAGCACTTTTCTTTGCACTCCCACTCTATTTCCATCTTCACCGATGGGTCTAAGTCTGCTGACGGTGTGGGCTACTCTGTTGTTTTTCCTGACCGCACTTATATGTGTCGCCTCCCTTCGGAAGATAGCGTCTTCACAGCAGAACTTTATGCTATTCTCTATGCTCTCTGTCTCTTGCTTTCTCATTGTCATTCCTCCTTTATGATTGTAGTTGACTCTCAAAGTGCCCTCATGGCTCTAGGGTCCTTTAATCCTGTCCATCCGGTGATCATCGAGATTCAACATTGGCTGTTTCTTGTTTCTAGTAAATTTAAATCAGTAGAGTTTTGCTGGGTTCCCAGCCATATTGGTGTTTCTTTAAATGAGTGTGCGGATGCTACTGCTAGGGAAGCTATCTGTTCTTGTCCCATCTCCCGTAAAGGTATTCCTTATTCCGACTTTTATCCTGTTCCTCCATCCTTGTCCGTTGGCAGGGTTGTTGGTCCTCTGTAGTTGGTAGCAAGCTGCGTACTCTCAAACGTAGTGTGTCCCTGTGGCCTTCCTCCTACCACCGTTACCGGCGGTGGGAAACTGCTTTGGCAAGGCTGCGTGTTAGCCATACTCGCTTAACCCACGGTCACTTAATGGAGCGCCGCCCTGCTCCTTATTGTCCAAATTGCGTTGTCCCTCTTATAGTTGTGCATATCCTTATTGAATGTCCTGACTTCCAGGACGAGCGTGTGGCTTGCGTTCCGACCGTCCCTCGCGATCACTTGTCGCTCGATAGAATTCTAGGTGAATTGGATACTTTTGATATCTTTCACCTTATGCGTTTTTGTTCTCATATTGGCATTCTTGGTGATATTTAGCACCCTCTGATTATTTCGCACTTTGATGGTGCTACATAGCCTTCCCGGTTTGGTGTCTTCTTTTGATGATTATCTTACCTAACAAGGCAACAATCTGACTTTGTTTTTCACCACGTGCAATGTTCCTCTTAGCCCACACAACACTTTCATTGTTGGGATGAAGAAATTGAGGATCCAGGTATGTTGGATACTTAAAAAAATAACTTTAGTTTGATTATTCCCACTTCAGGAGTAACCAAAATAATATTCTTAAATCCGTCAGTCGTTAGATGTTTCACTGCCTCCTCTGTCCCAACCGTTATGTAAGGCTGGTGAGCGCCCTCCTTAAATAATGGTTCATACTGTATTCACCAAAATTCTTGGCCAATTGAACAGTCCACTCCTGCTTTTGATAAAAAGTTAGTTGACATGTCAAGGGAAATAACAGCTGCTTCCTTCCATTAATCTGTGCCTCTTGGAGTTTTTGGTCCTGTTGCATCCTTCCGGTGATATTTTCCTAGAGAGTTTCTATTGAACTTTGAAACCCAGATCCCATCTGTTGTCGATCACTACACTTCTTTGGTCGTTCATCACTGTTGGTATCACTTAACTCTCTGCGCTTGGTTTTGCTGCAGGTACAATTAAGGAAGAATACACAAATAATAAAAGACAAACCAAGATGTGCATAGTCAGTTGCTTTATCTGCACATGAGAGCATTCTCAAGCCTCACCGTTTAACCACTTAACTGCGCCAACCAAGTATTCTTAGTCGGCGGGAAACTGCGCCAACCAAGAAAACTATCTTCGATTTTTCCGTACACATTCTAAATGTGTATGAGGTTGGTTGTGTACGAAATGGACTCTTAGGACCTCCAGTGAGAGGCAGCCATCTTGGAAAAAATTCCCATAATGCTCTAGGGCTGCTGGCTGGGATAGTTCTGAGTGAGCAATCATGGGTGGTGCATGCGCCTTTAGTTCCCAAACACCTGTCCGACGCGGTGTTGAAAGATAACGCTCTGTCGGTGAAATTCAAACCTTATTGTTTCAAGAACATAAGGGTCATAATATTGGTGAAGCTAGGCGCAATAAGGACCTAACACAAAGGTCGGATGCAAGTGATACAGCACCTATGAGGGCGATACAGCGAGCGTATCCAGTTGTAGCTCTGAGCATCACCCTTGCAATCTTATGCTATCTCCAATTTATTTAGATGATACATAGATGAATTGTTTTCTGCATTCAGTGATGATGCATCTGATACAAGTAGCATGTGTTAGTGTTAGTGGCTTCCATGGTGGTTTTTTCCATAGATATTTTCAAGAATATCTGAATCTCTTCCTGACCGACGGACACTCTTTGAGGCTAGCTGAATCTCTTTCTGACCGACGGACACTCTTTGAGGCAAGCTGAATCTCTTCCTGTGTGGGACCATACAAAGCAATCTTTTCAAGACTACCTTACAAATTGATCTTTTCCTATAATCTTTTCAATACAGTACTACCTTATGCTTTACAAGCTTGGCTACATACAACCTATAAGTACTAAAGCCAAGGGTATACACGAGTGCGTTATTTGCAAGCACACAGAATGAAGAAACAGGAAGCAAAAATTTATCTGTACCTGATGCAACGAGAGCGAAGTCGTGCTGTGCACCATGGACTACTTCGTTGATTATTACTCACTTCCGAAGTACTGAGTGTGTAATACAGTGTGTTACCGTGTAAATAGTGTGTGAAACTGTACATATTGTAATTTTAGTGAATTTTTAACCAGTAATATTGCGGCAATAAACATTTATTGTGGGACAAATTACTGACACATGTATCACAGTTCCATGGAACATTATGAACGTTCTACTGTATACATATTGTAAAGGACACAAATATGCATCATATACGATAAAAAAAATAAAATAAATCCGCATTGGAAATGCATAGAACAAATAATTGAAAATATATTTGTGGCAACACCCGGTGCTTGAATGGCCCGTGCGACCGTGTCTGGGCGATTCATGCACGGGCGACCAGGCCCTGATGACGTCACAGCGCACCTTGTCCACGTCCCCACAGCCAAAGTAAGTGGAATTTGGTATTTATTTTTACATGGGCATGTTCAGGGAAGGGAATTTATCATTTTACGAAGAAAAAAGAATTTTGGGGGGGAACACTTTATTTCATGCGCACAGGGGGAATTTCACAATAAACTCAGCGCAGCACGGTGGTTAATCTAAACTCCCATGTTTGTCCATAGCAATCCATTTTAAAATTCCCTCTAATGTAGAATTTAATATGAGCCCTACACTTAAATTAACTGGATTTTCTGGGTTATTAAAAGATAAAGTAAAATTATTTAAAGTACGTACTGTATTTTATTTGAGACATTTGCCTTTTGGTTTCATGGTGACAAATAATATTTTAGAAGGTACAGTATTTAGTTTATTGTATTTATATTTATTTGTTATATTTTTTTAATAGAAATATGTTGCTTTTGTTTTCTCATTGTAAATCTGATGAATAAATAAATATTTCAGTTGCAGTCAGTAAAATAAACTTAAGGCAATGCCAAAGTGAGTTTCTCTACATTTTATATTCTGTCTCTGTCTGTTGGTCTCTTTTGACATCACTCTATTACTTACCTGGTACTAAATGTGACAGAACTTGGTTCAAAATTCTCATACATTTAATATCTTACAGAGTGAGGAAACCTTACCGATGTTACTGTGGTAAAAGCTACTGTACAAATCAAGGTCTCAAAAATCATTGTACACACACACACAAGAATGAGAGTTTAACAGCTGTCACAACAAACACAGGTGAAGTTCTTCAAGTACCAGCGAACCAGCTTTCTTCAAGTTCCACTAGCCAGCTCTTGGACAACAACAATAAATCTTCTACTCCATCAATAACTAGGTTGTTTGAGAATGATGGGACTGTTCAGGTAAGCGGAACAACTGCGGCTTCACCAATTAACAGCCCAATAGCTGTGACTGGACAAATCATAAAAGGAGGATCAGCAGCTACTACTAAAGGAACTACAACCATTTCAAGTATTAATTTAACAGGTTTAGTAGCAGCCAGTGGTGGTAAAATTGCTCTTAAGGCTCTTCCAAATGGTCAACTCTTGCTTTCTCAACCTTTGGAAGGAAAATTAGCAGCCCTAGTCAAATCAGACTCAAAGCATGATTTTTCTGTAGATGATGGAAAAAATAGTCTTGTTCAAATAAAAACTGATGGATTTCAATCATTAGAACTTAGTAAATTGCTTCAAACAAATTCAAAGTTATCTCAACATCAGGTGGCAGTTACAACATCTACTCTTTCAGTAGCTATCCCAGCAAGTTCATTCAATTCCTTGAAAGGTCCTCAACGGACAGGACTCTCTTCTTCAGCTATGTTGGCACGTGCCCTAAAGAATCAGCTGGCATCAACCCCAACAGGTATTACCTCAGTTCTTGGTTCTCTTGATAATCAACCTGAAAACATGTTAGGAGGACAGGGTGTTATTTTAGGGGTGACTATGGAAGAGGGTACACTTGTTGATAATGGGGATGGAACGCTCTCAGAACTCTCTGTTATTGAATAAGATACAAGCATTTAGAATGTGTTAATGGCTTCATAATTGTTGAACTTTGGTTCTAAATTGAGTTAATGGTATTAGTAATTGGATGTGCTGTATGGAGCTTTAGTATATGCATTATATTTTGTTGGACGTGGAACCCCTGTGGAACTAAGGCTTTTGCTCTTATTACTAGTTAATAACCACACACCATTGCTGAATTATATTTTAAGATATTTGTTGAAAAGTAAAAATCAGAACATGGGTGCTGTGTAGACACAAAATCTTTAAAGCATTTGTAAGGATAAGTAATAATGGTGTTGAATAGCTGAAACATTCTTAGGGGGGTTTGAAATAAACATTCTAATTAAATATTATTGTATCTCCATTTGCTCATTGCTTTCAAAGGAGAATTTGGATATATGTAGTGTATAACAGGAAGGGTCTTCATAATTTTTAAAGATTATTACAGAAAGTGAAGCAAGGCCACGTGTTACAGCAGCTTCCCCAGGGACCCGTTCCAGTTTGCATTATTTCTAGTCCAGTAGCAATATCGGATAAGCCTCATTACAGTACACTATAAATTATTTTTTGAACTTCAGTAATTTATTACAGCTTGGGTATATTAATGTACACAAATCATTCATGTAGGGTCACAATTTACAAGCATTCTCCTGTAGGAGCTCTAAAGTACCTGGAAATTCACTTTATTATCTCCATCCACATTTTTCTTGTAAATAGAATAATTTTCATCATTGGATAAGTGTTTTGTATCATATCGTATTTGTAAATATTATGTTATAATGTCCATTTAACATAACTCATACCATATTAAGTGTCTTAGTCTTAGCAGGCATTGTATATTGTGAGTCAAGTTGTATGATAGTTCATGGGCAATAGATGTGTGTTCATTATACAGAGAGCATTGTTAACTTTCAATATCGTGATTCTAGGACAACATTGGCTACGTTTAATTTATACATTTGGGACTCGGCAAGTTGAATATGTTGTTTACAATTTTATATATGTTGGATATGGTGCCTCCAGTAGTAATTTAAAAGTATAGTATACCATTTAAATTACAATAGGAAATATACTTCACCTACAGTGTTATACCCCTAGTGATTAGGTTCATAATATAACTAGAGCATCTTATATTTTGCAGGATGTCAGAATATATATGTTCAGCATGAAGATATGTGAATGTTGGTTGTTATATTATGCAATGTACATCATTTGCAAGGCAGTGGCATTACTAGCCACCATGCCACGAGTTATTGAAGCAAACCTTGACAAATTAATGAACTGTCATGATGTTCCATAGATTATGGGTCTAACACTTGTTTAGTGATTGTATTTAGAATCCATTGATGCAAATTTAGCCACTTATCAGAGTAAATAAAAAAAATTGAATTTAATCACTGTGCTGATTAGTAAAACTTGAATAATGTAATTAGTATAGTATGGGTACAAAATATAAATTTGGGTTGTAATCCTATACAGATGAATAATAAGAATTTGATGGGTTTAAAGCTGCATGATAATTCACTACTTTGATGTGATAAAGTACTTTCAGAATTGTGCATTGTGTATTATTCTGCAGTAATATTGGTCGATTTTATCACAGGACTATTAACTAAGCTAAAATAAACCTAATCAATAAATATGAAAAATAGTTACATTTCATGACAATGTCTATTTATAATCTTTTTTTCATTGTTTGAAGGTGGCACCCCCATTCCATGTGAGCTCAATTCCTGAAATCCAAGGTATCCACATGAAGGTGATAATTTATACATATTACGGTTAAAACACACCACAATTTATGCACAATTTCAGTTTATTATAGAGTACCTGCTTACCTCTCCAGATCTCAGGATCAAGGCTCATCTGAGCAATTGTTACAGCATACTGAGATACGAGTTTGGAATGATGAAATTCACACTAATTACGTAATAATTTTGATATATAATACAGTATAAAGAGTTTTGATGTGGGAGATTAGGCAAAAATAGGTTCATCAGTTGAAGGAATGAGGAAATGATAGATGACACTAAAGATAAGGTCAGACTTGTGTAAAAAGTATAAAATTGTGAGTAGTGCCTTTATTGTGATGTTTTAGCAAAGTTATCCAAAACTATTTTACTTAGATATTAGTAATTTAGTACATTAATTCATTTTTGAGTATAATGACTGGTGCACACCCTCCTGGTGACACCTTTTTTTCCATTGCATAATTTTATTATTTTATGTATATATATATTTTACAATATATATATACATGTGATATAAATAATAGAACACGTATTTAAGCATATTTTAAAGCTCAAAAGGCATGTTTAAATTAAAAATTTGAATACAAAAAGTCTAATGCCTAAGACAAACACTTGCATGATACAAAAGGAGAGAAAATGACCTAGAACTGTGTACACACGAGACGGAGGTTATGAGAGTGTGAGCACGACAGTGAGAGTGAGTGTATGTGGGATGAACAGATAATAGATGGCCGAGTTACCTACAATTAGATATCTACTGGGGAAGGAGAGGCTACTTTTGTGCTATACATTATATCTAGATTGAGATGATCATGGGTTGCAAATTTGTAGACTTTCTCTTTCCTCTCCCTTCCCCCCCCCCCCCTCTTCAATCTTTCCCGTTTGTATTGTCACGTGGAAAATTGATTGGAAATATTCCGTGCTGTTAGAATATTGTATTGCTACAACTACAATTACTGCTGTTTCTCCCAGTAGTGACTCTACTCCTAGTAGGGACTCTTAACCTGTTGTGAAAACCATCTTTCTTTAGGTCATCTTGTGCTTCCACTACTGTGTTTCTTTCAAAAACACTATTTCTGCTTCATTTCTTTACTTTTTTGTTTTTGTCTACTGTATTTAGTATATTCTATATATTTATACACTTTTTCACTGTGATATTGCTTGTTTATCCTACCCAAATTTAAAAAAAACTTGTGCTCGCCAGCCCTCAACCCTCTCAAAACATTATAAGTATAGAGAGATTGGTAACCATATCTAAAAAAAAGCACATCAATAAAATAAAAGTAAGATGGAAAGAAATGCTACCAAATGACTTCCAAAATTGAAAAATGAAAACTATGATATGGGGGAAAGACTTGAAGCATTAAACATGCCAGAGTTAGTAGATAAAAGGGAAGGAGGAGATATGATCACCACATACAAAATTATAGTAGGAATCAAGAAAGTTAACAAAGAGGAATTTTAAAAAATGCAATGTCTAGAACAAGGGGCACAGACTTGAGCTTAGAAAACAAAGGTACTGAAATCCTTTTCTTGCAAACAGTTATGAATAATTTGAATAATTGAAGTGAGAACATAGTGGATGCCAAAATTATCTGCAGTATGGCAAGGATTATAAGGAAGACTGGATACCATGAGCATAGCTCACATCCTGTAACTTCACATGTGAATTACACATGCACAGACAGTAAAGCATGCACACACACATTAATGCTGTATTTGGTATTTGCTTTGTATACATAATATTATGGCAGTTTTTAAAGTTCATAGGTCAACCATCAGTGTACAAGTGCTTCTTAGTAATATTCATTGCTTTTTCCATAAGCAGTCAGCCTGCCATTACACATTTTGATTCCTCATGCCAATTACATCATCTACACTCTTACACCTTAACTTTACTGTGTTTTTACATATTGCTTTATCCAATAGTTGTAGACCATAGATTTAGCTTTGATATTAAAGCTGTCTTATTGATACTCAAAGCACACAAAATGACTTGGGATGCCACTTTCAATTTTTTCATATTTTACCTCTTAACAAATTCTCAAATAAAAAAAATTATTTTGGGGGATTTGATGTTTGCTGATGCCTTGATCTACGCATTACCTGCATTTGGAACCAACATTATACATGGTTGTTTTACTTTTTTATAGATCCAAGGATACAATGTGAATGAATGAATAAATGAGTCGTGCACACTAAACCAAACCTGGAATCCTAACTTGATTGATGGACATGTGCGGTTCATGTGTATTTGTAGCACTTAAGGTGGCTAGCAGGCAAATCGGGCCTCTCTCCCTCCCACCCACCCTGTCACTGTCAGCACGTATGTATGGTATGTGTGTGTACTAGATGAAGACAAAATATACTGTACAGTGTGTCCTCACTTGAACGAACTACTGTATATGGGGTGAGGCCGATTCGTTCTACCCGTTGGACCCAGGCTGTCCCTCCCCTCCATGTGAAAATAACAGAGGTCCTACATCAACTATCAACAAAACAAAAACAGAGAAAATCTATTTATAATGTATTTATCGTTTTGAACATGGCACATGATTGAACAATCATTGGTAAACCATTCCTTATCAAAATCATATCTGTGACTTATTGGTGGCCACAAATATGATGTAATGGCCTGGATTTCGATAAGCCATCTGTATCGGTCTCTATCGATATTCATACAAAATTCATTTATTAAGAATTCTTCATTTTCACTATGGCATTTGATAAAACAATCCCTTACAAACAATTTGGAATAAAAATGCTACATATATGAGCTTATTGAATCCAATCAAGCAAAATCACCCAATTTCTTCAAAAAACTGACAAGAGACGGAGGCCGGTGGTAGGGGGAAGGGCCGGCCGCTGGTAGGTAGTCAGGAGCAGGAGGGGGTGAGGGGTTTGTAGCATGTTGTCAGTAGAGAGGGGGTGGGAGCCACCATACTGGCAGGCCTTTGGCCAGATCAAGCTTTGGGCCAGACCTCAGACCAGGCTTCGGACCAGGCCTCGGCCCAGATTTTGGGCCAGACCTAGGGCCAGACCTAGGGCCAGATCTCAGGCCAGATCTCGGGCCAGATCTCAGACCAGGCCTTGGGCCAGATCTCAGGCCAGGCCTTGGGCCAGATCTCAGACCAGGCCTTGGGCCAGGCCAGATAAGGCCTCAGACCAGGGCCTCAGACCAGACTAAAACAATGTTAACTGCATAGAGGCCTCCTTAACCCCCTAATACATCCTCTCACTATTGACACCACCATTTATTATGAATTCTTCATTTTGACTAAGGAATATGATAGAGCATTGTGTTACAAGCCACTGAAATAGTAAAATTTTCTCCTAATTTTGTGAAAAACATCAAGTGAGTTTAGTATTGAGGCAGGCACGTGAGGCAGGGTCAGCAGAGGCCAGATCTGGTGGACGCGTCTCCCCTAACCCTCCTTCCCTGATGCCTCCCCCCCAATACATTCCCTCACCACTAACACCACTATTTATTATGAATTCTTTATTTTGACTACGGAGTATGATAGTGATGTGTTACAAACAACTGAAATTGTAAAATTTTCTCAGCTAATTGGTGAAAAGCAGACAGTGAAACAATGAGGCACCAGCTACGTGTTGCCAATTAGCTGATAACCAGAGCTCACCACTGACACCACCTGCCTACCCTGACAACACCTGCCTCCCCTGACAACACCTGACACTACCTGCCTCCCCTGACACTACCTGCCTCCCCTGACAACACCTGACACCACCTGCCTCCCCTGACAACACCTGACACCTCCTGCCTCCCCTGACAATACCTGACACCACCTGCCTCCCCTGACAACACCTGACACCACCTGCCTCCCCTGACAACACCTGACACCACCTGCCTCCCCTGACAACACCTGACTACCTGCCTCCCCTGACAACACCTGACACCACCTGCCTCCCCTGACACCACCTGCCTCCCCTGACACCACCTGCCTCCCCTGACAACACCTGCCTACCCTGACAACACCTGACACCTCTTGCCTCCTCTGACAACACCTGACACTACCTGCTTCTGCTGACACTACCTGCCTCTGCTGACAACACCTGCCTCCCCTGACATCTGCTTCCCCTGACACCACCTGACACTCCCTGCCTCCCCTGACAACACCTGCCTCCCCTGACAACACCTGACACCACCTGCCTCCCCTGACAACACCTGACACCACCTGACACTGCCTGCCTCCCCTGACAACACCTGACACTACCTGCCTCCCCTGACAACACCTGACACTACCTGCCTCCCCTGACAACACCTGACACTACCTGCCTCCCCTGACAACACCTGACACTACCTGCCTCCCCTGACAACACCTGACACTACCTGCCTCCCCTGACAACACCTGACACTACCTGCCTCCCCTGACAACACCTGCCTCCCCTGACAACACCTGCCTCCCCTGACACCACCTGCCTCCCCTGACACCACCTGCCTCACCTGACAACACCTGCCTCCCCTGACGCCACCTGCCTCCCCTGACAACACCTGCCTCTGCTGACAACACCTGACACTACCTGCCTCTGCTGACAACACCTGACACTACCTGCCTCTGCTGACAACACCTGACACTACCTGCCTCTGCTGACAACACCTGACACCACCTGCCTCCCCCTGACACCACCTGCCCCCCTGACAACACCTGCCTCTGTTGACAACACCTGACACTATCTGCCTCTGCTGACAACACCTGACACTACCTGCCTCCCCTGACAACACCTGACACTCCCTGCCTCCCCTGACACTCCCTGCCTCCCCTGACACTCCCTGCCTCCCCTGACACTCCCTGCCTCCCTTGACAACACCTGACACCACCTGCCTCCCCTGACAACACCTGAAACCACCTGCCTCCCCTGACAACACCTGATACCACCTGCCTTCCCTGACAACACCTGACACCACCTGCTTCCCCTGACACCACCTGCCTCCCCTGACAACACCTGATACCACCTGCCTTCCCTGACAACACCTGACACCACCTGCCTCCCCTGACACCACCTGCCTCCCCTGACAACACCTGACACCACCTGCCTCCCCTGACACCACATGCTTCCCTTGACAACATCTTCCGCCCTGACAACACCTGCCTCCCCTGACACCACCTGCCTTCCCTGACAACACCTGCCTCTGCTGACAACACCTGACACTACCTGCCTCTGCTGACAACACCTGACACTACCTGCCTCTGCTGACAACACCTGACACTACCTGCCTCTGCTGACACCACCTGCCTCCCCCTGACACCACCTGCCCCCCTGACAACACCTGCCTCTGTTGACAACACCTGACACTATCTGCCTCTGCTGACAACACCTGACACTACCTGCCTCCCCTGACACTCCCTGCCTCCCTTGACAACACCTGACACCACCTGCCTCCCCTGACAACACCTGAAACCACCTGCCTCCCCTGACAACACCTGATACCACCTGCCTTCCCTGACAACACCTGACACCACCTGCTTCCCCTGACACCACCTGCCTCCCCTGACAACACCTGATACCACCTGCCTTCCCTGACAACACCTGACACCACCTGCCTCCCCTGACACCACATGCTTCCCTTGACAACATCTTCCTCCCCTGACAACACCTGCCTCCCCTGACACCACCTGCCTTCCCTGACAACACCTGCCTCTGCTGACAACACCTGACACTACCTGCCTCTGCTGACAACACCTGACACTACTTGCCTCTGCTGACAACACCTGACACTCCCTGCCTCCCCTGACACCACCTGCCTCCCCTGACAACACCTGCCTCTGCTGACAACACCTGACACTACCTGCCTCCCCTGACAACACCTGCCTCTGCTGACAACACTTGACACTACCTGCCTCCCCTGACAACACCTGACACCACCTGCCTCCCCTGACAACACCTGACACCACCTGCCTCCCCTGACAACACCTGACACCACCTGCCTCCCCTGACAACACCTGACACTACCTGCCTCCCCTGACAACACCTGGCACTACCTGCCTCCCCTGACAACACCTGGCACTACCTGCCTCCCCTGACAACACCTGACACTACCTGTCTCCCCTGACAAC